GTGTTTGTGCTGGTATGCACACTTGTGTTTGTGGGAATGGGCATGTGTTTGCTCTGTGTGTGTGTGTGTGTGTGTATGTGTATATATATACATATGTATACACACACACACACACACTGTGTGTGTCTTTGCATATAGATGCCTATGTACTTTTGTGTGCTTGCAGTTGTTTGTGTGTATACACATATTGTGTATGTGTTTATGTGCCCGCATGTGAGAGAGAGAGCACACAGTGTTTACCAGACAGGAAAGGATGATAATGATAGGAAATGAAGATGTTTTCATCCTCCTTAAGCCCTGGATCTACTCATTCTTGAAGAATCTCACATTATAACCAGCCCCGATAGTTTTAATGGGCTGAACAAAAACCCTGCAGCTGAACATGCCAGAGCTTTGGGGAAGTTCAAGTTCAGACCCAGACCTGAACTCCATCACATGGGCCAAGATTAATGGAAAAGGTCTCCCTCATCAACACAGCTCTGAGGGTCAGCTTGAGTAGGGCTGGTATCAGAACAATGGGAGAGCCTGCCTCTCTGAAGTGGGTCACCATATTCTATCTGAAGTGGTCTCCGTGCCTGGTGCAAGGCTTGGGCATGTTCAGCTGCAGGGTTTTTGTCCAGCCTATTAGCACTATAGGGGCTGGTTGTAACATGAGATTCTTCAAGTCTGAGTAAATCCAGGGCCTGGGATCAGGCCTGACTCCACGTCCAGCCTTCCTTGCCAGGAGCTAGAATTGCTGGAATGCAGAGAACAAGGATAGAGAGGGGCAGATGAAGAGAAAGGGGTATCTGGGAGGCTCCACAACTCCCCAAGAAAAAACCCAACTGCCAAGAGATTATTGCAGCCATCAGAGGTAATGATATTACAAGCTATTAGCCGAGAAAGTGCCTGACCACACTGCTCTCTCCGCCGCAGAGCACCAGGCAGTGAGAATTCCCCCTTGCAGTCATTCCACAAGTCTCTAGTGTAAAGGGAGCATAAAATGAACCTCGTTGGCAGTGTCTTTCCTTTGCCCATCATCCAATGCTGCAGTGTCTCTGCAAGCAGTGGTGGTAATTCCAGAATGACTCAGACAGCTGTGCTGATGGAAAACTGAGGGCGGGGGGCGGGAAGAGTTCTCCATCCCAATGCAGTAGAAAGCATTCCATTCCCACATGCTCTAGACCTGCAGGCAGTTAGCATGGAGTAGCCATGTTGGCAGGGAACAACAGAGGTCCCAAGTGTTCTTTACAAATTTATAAGGTTCAAGAAAAGGCAATCGGGTTCTGCTGCTTGTTTTGCAGTGATGACACTCTAGGCCTGGATCTAATATTGTCAGTAGGGATTTTTGTTTAGAGCAGAGCCTAAACTCAATCTGAAGAGGCAGGGCATTATTCAGACACATAAAGGAGGAGCAAGAATCTTTCCCAAAGCTGCAGAGTGGGTTTAGAGCCATTCTGTAGAGTTTGCTCCAGCCCAGTGGCTGGGATCACCCATTATGTGTCCCTTCCCATTGCGAGAGGACTGTGTGATCTCCAAAGATGCAGATTTTATGGCCCCAGCTCTGCCCCACCCTTGCCTGCCTATTGCCTTTTGCTGCCACAGGGAGCTCCCATGGATTCTATGCCATAAGGGAAAAAGCATTCCCCTATAGCTTCCAAATCCTGACTTCTCATTCCAGCACAGCAGAGCACAGCCAGTTCTTCTGCCAAGGTCTTTCCACAGGCATGAAGTTTAATTTTTCCTTGGACACACTCTCTAGACACTCATCAGTGATTTGCTACATAGACATAGTTCATTGATTCATTGCACGCTTCTTTGGCCAACCACAATCCAATGACCTGAGAATGGATCACAAGACTATAGCCTCAAAGTCTGGTTCCAGCCCTGGAACCTGGATTTGGACTTGCCCAGACTTTGCAGGTGTTCAGACTCTGGTTTTGGTGTCATCTCAGCCAATTAGACTGTGTTTTGGTTTTTCTGTCAACCCTCCCGCCTTGGCTGCCTCCTTCTCCTCTCTCCTCCTCCCTATAGTTTTTAAAGTTTCCAGTTTCCCAGCTTTAATACTTTGTGTGCAGCCACACCTGCCACCTTCTTCTGTGGCCCTAGAAGATCACAGGTGCCAAGCTGGATCAGTACTGAGAGGGGAGATCTCCAAGAGACACCTAAATTCTGTAGGAATCCAGCTGGGGCAGTTAACTTTGAACCCACTGTCTCATAATAGCATTGTGGGCATTATTTTGGTACAGGGCCAACAGGAGCTATGTAATACTAAGAGAGCATGCAGGTGTTGCCTGCACTGCTACAACCGTTGCATATCTGTGACATGCTATGTGTGTACAGTGCTGCACATTGCACCTGCTCTGAGCAAGCACCTTTTTATCCACCTTCCTGTCACACTGCACCATTGCAGTGCCACAGTATACAGTAAGCACTGGGAAAGCACCTGCAGCAGTACACTTAGTCTTTCCCTGAAATCCCTCAATGCACCTGCTCACCCTTAGGGTAGTGTCTTTGTTGCCTGTCAAATGGCTGCATGAAGGCCTGAGAGCATCTAGTGGGCTGGGCTGGACTTGGATTTGCAAATTCCCCCAGTTCAGAATGGGCTCAAGCATTATCTCCATGCAGACTTTATTTGAATGGATAAATTACAATGAAACAGTGGAGATGGGGGTGGAGGTGGAGGAGTTTACTGAAACACAGAGGATAACTAGCTAGCTAAATCCATAAGCATGGTAAGCCATCTGGTACTGCACTAATTCTTACAGAAGAACAGAATATGAATAAATAACCCATATTTATGATTGCCAAACAAATTTATTAGAGTGGGTGAAAAAAATCATTGAAACATTTTTTCAACAAAGAAGTGGCTTTTTGATCAAAATGATATTTTGTTGTAGAAATTTTTCATTTTGGCTAGAATACTCCAGATTTTTATGGAAATAAAAAAACAAAGATTTTTGTTAAAATGTTGGGCTTTGGTATTCAAAAACTAAACATTTTTTATCTGGAAAATAATTTTTGAAAACTGACTTTTTCCTCTTTTTTTTTAAGTGAAAATGTTTTAGTTTTTGGTTTCTCATTTAAAACCTAAATAAATAAATTCAACAGAAATTTTGAAAATTATGATTTAAAAAAATTTCCTCTAAAAAAAAATTTGTCTTTTTAAAAAATTGATACCTTATAGTTAAATATATCCACCATTTTTATATGAGCCATTGATAGTTATTCTGAGATGACAACCCTTTGACGACCCATTTCTTTTATTACAGCCAAGACCACTTTAAAAGAAGTCAAAATATGATCAATAAATAAAATAAATTTCCTTTAGTCATGCATCTGTGTTGAAATCCTGGTTTCAAACACCCTGAGACTTTGAGAAAGTTTGCATCCAGATTCATAAGCAAACTTTGTGACTAGCCTCAACTCAATTTTTGAAAGCCCTTAATAATTTAAAAAACAATACGATAGGCACAAAAGGCATAAAAGCAATGTTTATAGCACTGTACAGATATAGCACGATATTCTAGAAGAGATAGATTCTGATTTAGAAAAATTAGCACAGTAAATCCTTTAAGCCTCAATCCTGCAAACACTTTTAACGTGTCTGCTTACTTGGGTGAGTATTCCAGTTGGCTTCTGCGAGCAGAATTAAGTGAGTGGGTTAGTTTGGTTCATCATGAGAAATATACACTAGCCACTGCAGAAGAGAAGATATCACAACCAATATATTGTTAGCAACTAATATTTTAATTAAATCAATGGCTGAACATATGGGAGAGAGATGAGTACAATTAGAGCTTGTTATTTGCTAAAATGATACTTACTATTAAATTAGCTCCTTTCTTGGTTAACGAATTGTTTGGGAGCCAATCCTGATTTTCTTCCCAACAGTCTTTATTTCTAAATATTTGCTGGATTGTTTGGACAAAGGATTTTTCCAACTATAGGTGGTTTGTGAACTATTTTATTTTTGATGGGCGCGATATGCTTTTTGTCTTGTCTGATTGGTCATCTAAGTCACATGGTCCTCCGCCCTGCTTCGCTGACAAACTTTTTATACAGGAAGCGAAGGAAAATATGTACAGAGTGGGGATAAAATATTCGAAGCTGTCTGGAGTGGAAATTCAGCCGTGTGTGTGAGGTGCTCAGGTTCTGCAGACAAGCGGCCCATGGAAGCATACAGCTAGGAAGATAAAGAACAACAAATGGACAATGTACTTTCAGGTACAGCTCTTCAGAGGACTAACCATTCCTGCTAGCATATCTGGAACCAGTCAGGATACGTGAACATTGTCATGGCTACTCGCTGATCAGAACTCGGAGCATTTATCCACCACCAAACTATCCAGGTATCCATTGACTTTGTGCTGTTCACGCACCCTTCCTCAGTGAGCCCTCAGACTGTCAGACGTTAGGGCTTGCCAAGAATATCCTCGCCTTCATTCCAAATAAATATGGGGTTGTTGCAAACGAATGGAAACTTAGAGACAATAATCATTGGGTGGTTCATCTAACCGGGTGCCCCTAACCGGCCAGGGAATCAAGGAACTTTACCTTGTTTCACCCATTAGCGGCAGGCAGTATTTCTCAGCGAGTTGAGGAGCTGGCAGCTAGCCCTCGCACCCTGCTTGGGAGACATTCGGGCTGGGCTCCGAGGCAGTGTACCAGTCCCGCTGCACAATGGCATCAATGCACCCTCAGCCACCTGACTGCCTGCAGCTGGATCATCGCTGGGGCGGGGACGGGAAGAGGTGGGGAACGCCGGGGCTAAGAGGCTAGTGAGATCACTGGCTCCTGCTCGCCTTCTCGGGGGAGTGGTAGGAAGAGGAGGCGGAGTCTGCAGCCAGCTCCCCCAATTGGAGGGGCTGGGGGCGGGCCAGGGTAGGTCTATAATGCCATTGATGCTGTGATCAGCAGTCAGACAATAACAACAGACCAAAAGAGCAAAGCTCAACGGATTCCACCTGCCCATGCAGTAGCCACACGGTGCCACTGTGTCTCTTTTCCTCTCAGTCACCATGATGTCTATGAACAGCAAGCAGGCTTTCAGCATGCACCCCATCCTGCACGAGCCGAAATACACCCACCTGCACACCAGCTCGGAGGCCATCAGGAGAGCCTGTCTGCCAGCCCCCCAGGTAAGCGGCACAAACAGTCCAGCACGTCCCTTAGAGCGGGACTGATGTCGGGCTTTGCTGCAGGCTGCCTGGGAGCCCCGTGCTAGATGTACATGCATTTCAGTTTATTTCATAGGCAAGTGAAAGATGCAAGAGTCATGAACAGCGGATGGATTATTTTTATTTAGTGTCTTCAGCTAATGCTTAGACCCTCTGTGTGATGGGGATTCCGCAAACTGCCTCTAACTTTTTCTTTAATTTAATTTTACAGGCAGTCACATTCAGCAGAATCTCTCTAACTAAATTGGCGATAAGTTTGTCGGGCAATTTCGATTCCTAGTATATTTTTTCCTGGAAGGGATATAAATTATGTGAAGGACCCAAGTATGTGTTTGCGGGGCAGTTTGCTCGGGGCTCCCGGTTTAAGAAATAAGGTGAATGGCTTGCAGCTATTTGGAGTAAGAAAAATAGATGGTCTCCCTCACTTTTTGGGCATGTTTGCCGGATTTAGGTCCATTGCCTGGTTTTATTTGTTTTTTTTTAGTTTAGTTTTTTTTTTTTTTTTCAAAAATCTCTTTGCTTTCGAAGAGCGTTCCCTTGAAGATTGGGTTAGATCATGTTGGCATTGGCTGGTAATTCTCCCAATGGGATGTTGGTGTCCTGACACCGAAGCCTCTCCTGCTCCTCTAGTCTGGGGTGACCCGTTGCCTGTCGCCAGTCTTGCCCCCCTTGCATTTCAGAGAACTATCGCGTGCTTTACACGCTTCTGGCATTTTTGTTCCTTTGTTTCCTCAGATCCAAGGCAATATCTTCGCGGGCTTCGATGAGACTTTGCTGAGAGGGGCTGAAGCTCTGGCAGCTGTGGATATAGTGTCTCAGAAAACTCATCCCTTCAAACCAGATGCTACCTACCACACCATGAGCAGCGTCTCCTGCACGCCTACCTCTTCTTCGGTTCACCTGCACCACCCCTCGGTGCTGACCACCCACCATCACCACCACCACCACCACCAGCCCTCGCAGGGTTTGGAGGGGGAGCTCCTGGACCACCTCAACTCTGCCATCCCGCTGGGGGGTGTGCCCGGACCCGAGGTGGGCTCCACGCCCTCCCACCCGCACTCCCACATGCCAGCCCTCAACCACATGGCCCACCACCCTCAGTCCATGAACATGTCCCACCCCCACGGCTTGGCCTCCCATGCTGTCATCTCAGGCCCCGAGACAGAGACAGACCCCAGGGAGCTGGAGTCCTTTGCTGAGCGGTTCAAGCAGAGGAGGATCAAACTTGGGGTGACCCAGGCAGACGTGGGCTCCGCCTTGGCCAACCTGAAGATCCCAGGTGTTGGCTGCCTGAGCCAGAGCACCATCTGCAGGTTCGAGTCCCTCACCTTGTCCCACAACAACATGGTGGCCCTGAAGCCCATTTTGGAGGCTTGGCTGGAGGAGGCTGAGAGGGCTCAAAGAGAGAAAATGACCAAGCCCGAAATCTACACTGGCGGGGACAAGAAACGCAAGCGCACTTCCATAGCAGCCCCGGAGAAGAGGTCGCTGGAAGCTTATTTTGCTGTGCAGCCCAGACCTTCCTCGGAGAAAATCGCAGCCATTGCAGAGAAGTTAGACTTGAAGAAGAACGTGGTGCGCGTTTGGTTTTGCAACCAAAGACAGAAACAGAAAAGGATGAAATTTTCTGCAACCTACTGAGAGCTGGAGAGAGGATGGGAGGGCAGAGAAAACCAGTGTTCGCCCCCTCCCCCAAACCAGCCCTGGAATGATCTGCCTCCCCAGCTCCTAAATCAGGCAGATATTTTTTTAAGGGAAAACCACCAAGAGCTGGTGACTTCTCTCTCCTCTCGAATCCGCCGTTGTCTCTGCAAATCAAGGAACTGGGCATAATAGTGTTACTAATAAATACTTTTTTAAAAGACAAAACCATACAGGAGAAAGGTATAGAACTGTCCAATAGTCCTGGTGAGTGAATGTCAGGGCTTGTGTCTTTGAGATGAAACCCGCTTACCCCCTCCACTGACTACTAGAAAATGTCAGAGGAGAAAAAAATTCAATGAAACTTGAAAAAATGTTTATTCTCAGTTTCAAATACTCTTTTTATATTTATGATTGTAAATATGTCCTTGTGATGGCACTCCACCGGGGTTGGGAAGTTCCGTTCTGTTAGGTTGCTGTATAGCACGTCATCCATGTCAAACTCTTTTTTTTTTTATTTAAACAAGCATTCACTTGAAGGGCTCCTCACCTCCACACACACTTGCATGGTTTACTTGGCTTTTCCCCCTCTCTCATCTAGCTGCAAATCCGTCGCATTTTTGCAATAACTGTTCTGTTTCTACCTCATCAGCTAAAAAATAATGGAAAAAAGAGAAAAGGAAAAAATATCAGGTCCATGGATTAATGGTTTGGAAAATTGGGGACTTATTTTGCTTTTGTTTTACTTGAAATATTTAACTTCCATATAATTTCACCGTAAAAAAACGCTTTGACAATCAAATAATTAAATCTCATATTTATGACATTTCCCCTTGAAATGAGTATAATAACGTGTAAGTAACTGGTCTACTTGCGTCTCACCATAAAAGCTCTTGGATTTGACATATGAGTTTCTTTTCTCTGCACAATTCACTCGTTTCTGTGCGGTTTTTTTTCCCCAGGATGCATTGACCCAGGGGAAAGTTTTATTTTTGAGAGATCTAACTTATATGTAACTTAAAGAAAACTCACTATGGTTATCAGAAGTTATTAGTAAATAACTTGTTACTTTGCAAATATTTAACTCTGCACTTTCTAAGGCAAGATTTTTTTTTGCTTTGCGTATTTAATAGAGAAATTTGCCTTTGTTTCCTTTTTAATGATTATTTAATTTTGTTGTGTGTGTGCTGAATGAAATTTTGTGTCTGTGTATGCTACAGAATTTCAAATAAACCATGCACGTTTTACCTCACTCATTCCTTGGCTTGTGGTACTTATTGTAGGGGGAGCTGTAGGGAACAATATCCAAATAGAAATGTCCCTCTTTTTAGCAACTATATATCCTGCAGAGCAAAAGCTCCCAGTCGCTTATGCTGCCTATTTCTGGCTTGCTACAAGGTAGCTTCTTTAGCAAGCAACTGGGGGGGGAGGGGGGGAGGGAGGAACCCAAGTACAAATGTTTTTAAAATTGCCAGGACCGCAGCCTCCTCTTTAACCAAAATTGACGTCTATTTGATTCGCAGCCACAACACTTGATTTGTAGTGATAGGAGTTGAGTTGCAGGCATGATATTTCTTGAATCGGTTGTGCTGTGCTCTTGACAGAAGAAACCCCAAATGCAAAGCATTTTAAATCGAACAAATTAATTCACGTGCCTTTCGCTAAACAAGGTTTAGTTGTACCACGAAAATGTAAATACTGCATCCAACTTCTCTCTGCAATATCCAGTGTCTTTCTCTGAGGCGGGGATTCCTGCTCGTCAGGGGAAAGAGGTATTTCACCATTTAAGGAAACCTTCAACATGCACAACGTATTAGACAGAAAGAGAACTAAGTGAGCACCGGCCCAGGAATTCTACTCGACTCCAGCGACTGTAAAATGTGACACCGAAATCAAAGAAATATTTCATTACAGGCATTTAGTTGTCAATAAAATGTTTTAACCTGAAGAGCTTTACATTAAGAGCTTTGAAATGACAATACCTTCCCCCCCCCCTTTTCTCTCTCTCTCTCTCTCTCTCAACGTTCGGGCATTTCTTGATTATTTCATAGAAGTCATCTCGGGGCAAGGGCGGAATCTTGTTCCATATGACAGCTAACTTGCAGGGGCGGGGGAGAAACATGAATCGCAGGTCCTTTAGCAACAATCAAAATGATAGAACTGCTGTGGGATATTGGTATTACTTTGTTTAAATGTAACTTGTGTGTTGGAGGCGCCGATCTGACCTAAGTGCGTTTATTTCTAATGTACTTTGAAGTGTGTAGTGTATACATACACACTGACATGCAGATGTGTGTGAATCTTTGTTCTTTTCTCCCGTGGCTCTCAGAATTTTTCTCAGGAGTTGTCAGCTAGAATTAAAAGCGGGGAAGAGAATAGAAATGGTCCAGAGAAAACTCCTATCAGCACTGAAGGCAAACCCAAAAGATATCAAACAAGTGTAGACCTCTGTTGTTTGCCAATCCGCTTCCAGCAGGTTTACACAGACACACAGCCCCCCCCCCCCACCGCCACCCCCTGCCCCCGGCGCGATGCTGGCTCAAATGACCCGTTTTCTCTTCAATCTTTAGCAACTACACATGGAAACTTCCCACCACATGGGCGCAGAGGGAGCGCCTCTCTCGGTAAAGCACATCGGGGCGGCTGCAAACTGGCCGAATGTCCTCTTGCTACAGTGCCCCTCTCTTCCCGCTCTCAGTCTGACCCGCCGGGCGTGGGGCTGTTCAGGCTCCATCAGCTGTAAAGACAAGTGCAGCCGGAAGGGCCTAAAGTACCTGGGATCTAACGAAGCCCCGCCTGGGACTGCTTAGAGCAACCTTCCAGCCTTGGGCAGGGGTTTCTAGTGTCACCTCCGTCCCCACGTGGGAGGCTAAGGAGCCAGAGTGAGGGGCTCAGGCGGGGAGGGGCGTTGCTGACACACACCTGTTAGCCCAGCCTGGCCTCTCTGGACGTTGTATTTTTGTGCAGGGCCCTTTCTCCGATCCCTCGGGTCAGAAGGGCAGCACGTGCGTGTCTCATTCAACCAGCGCTGGCTATGGCCTCTGCCCGCATAACCCAGGGGGAGGAGGCGGGGAGACAACACTAGAGACACTTCCAGGTTTCCAGTCCAAACCAAACCGCAAAGGATCTGGGGAATTTCCCTTGTTTTCTTTTGAAATCAGCCCGGGGCCTATCAAACGAAATTTCTTGTCATTGATCTGGAAGCAGATGAAGCAGTTTGACCCCAGGTCGAAAGCGCGCTCGCCTTGCTGATCAGAGCCAGGTACTGGTGTTTCCCCTTTCCCTAGGAGATTCTAGTTCTACGACCGATACCAGGTTGGTATCTTTCCCCTCCTCTCTTGAGCTGGGGGTCTGTTCAGAGAGGAGTTTGCGGCGATCACCACTATGGATTATTTTGGCAGACTAAAGACTCACCGGCCCAAGGCAGCCTCTATTTCTTGCCTGACATGAGCGAGGAACCTGATTTTAGATCATTTCCCTTCTTCTCTGAGCTGAAACGGATCCCATGGCTGCTTACAACACTTCCCAGTGTCTCCACTAGAGCCCAAAGCCCCAGAAAACCGCAACGGAGCCGTGGGTGTGTCCCGGGGCCAACGAAGTGATGGCACCGAGCTGTTTCTTTTCAGCCTGCTTTTTCGTTCTGACTTCTTGGGAAACCTCCCCCTTCCAAATGTGTGCGCTAGAAATACCCGGGTGTGTCTTTCTTGCTGGGAAACACTATCAAATGGTATTTCACAACCCCCCTTCCACTCTGCTGGAGAGATGCGATTTAACCAGAAATCAATGTTTCTTAGTTGTTATTGTTATTATTTAAATGGGGGAGGGACTTTCACTAGGAATATCAATGTCCCACCCTCTAAACACTTGCTTTTGCCTACTGAAGCCTTTCGCGTTTTCACCAGAGGAACACTGGTAACAGTGGTTGCGGAGTTCATAGGTTTTCCTGTAAATTATGAAGCGGGGGAGGTGGGGGGAGCGGAACACAAATGTCAAAAATTGATGGCAAAAGATATAAGTGCAGGGAGTCGCCCAACCTTATCGATCAACCCGATTGCAATCTGCATCCGCCCCGAGGGGGGAATCGAGGAGAAAAGCACCCACTCCGCACCGGTCCCTCAGGCTAAGGTCTGACCTGGGCTCCGGGATTCTGTGGTGCTCCTAGCACAGCCGCTGGGCTTGGGGGACCACAGCTCTCTGCTTTGCTTTCACCCTCTGAACTTCGGTGGGAAGTTTGCGTGGGAAGCACCCCCAGAATTTTCCATCCCTCCCCCTCCTCTGGCAGAGGAAGAAGGCGGCCACTTCGTACGTCTTGCAGGCTCGCTGAGCTCCTCCGCTTGGCATCCCGCCTGGGACTACATTAAACCCTGCCCGGCAGGCATTAGGCAGAGGGAATATATGGTGCTGGAGCCCTTCTCCATGAATGAGAGGCTTGGGTTTTAATGCCTTAAAGCCTTGGGCTAGCTCCCTGCAAACACTGCAACAGGACCTCTCGCCCCCCCTTCCCGCCGCCGGTCCAGTTCAGCACCTCGGACAGATCCGAGGCGCGGAGATCAGCTGGAGATTCTCTTCGCGCTTCCCTGCACGGTTCAGGCCGGGCAAGGAGCAGAGTCACAACCCTAGCGCTGAAAGGACGCATTTCCCGTGCCCTCCCCTCCCGTGCCCTGCCCATTCACACATATCTGAATGCGCAGGAAGCTGAGGTGGGCTGGGGTCTGGTGTCCCTGGCAGGTGTACGGGGCTGTCCGTCTGCTCCCCCCCCCCATGTACTGTACATAGGCACATTAGAATCTCATCCTCTCCTTTGTTCTTTCGCTTGATTCCTGTTTTTTCCATGAAGCGAAAAGCGCATTTTCATAAATAGACCTTGGCCAAGTGCTGGGTATGAAATTTTAATGAAGTCTGGATGCTGAGTGCTGCCTGGGGGGCCTTTGAGAATCATCTCAATGCAACATTAGCAGGGCCCTTTTCTCTCTCTTTTCCCTCCCTCCCTTCGTGGCTCT